GCGGAGATCGTACATAAGATATCCACAGGACATGCTACACGGGATATCCTCAGGTAATCCTACGGATAACGTTTTGTTCTGGATCAAACTGGGACTATTTCGATCAAATTGGGATGTCCTGGGGAGATCTTTGCTATGTGGGTATAAGTTGTTAAAATATTGTTTTTTCTCTTAGTTTTCCCAAAGATCCTAAAACTCGTACATTGTGGTTAGATATTTTGGAAATAAGTTTATCATCTATCCCAAGTACAGCTCGTATTTGCTCTGTCCACTTTGAAGAGAAATTCTTTGACAGAACATGTTTGATAACTCGACTTAGACGAAATGCATTACCTAGTGTATAATAACAACAGCATACGTATAACGATAACCAATCAGATTCAGGCACAGTATCATGGCGGACCCCCCCGCATTTTGGCTTCACTCCCCTCGTCTATCAACCAAGTTTACGCTCCGTCCCTATATTCCTATGTCCATGGTCATATCCACACGATGCAGCGCTATGTGAACATACTTTGGTCACATACGCATGCGCAGTGGACACAATATTTCGCGAAATTTGAAACAAATGAAACATGTCAATACATATGTTATACTTGTATAAACGCGCAGTTCGAACGCAACAATGCAATTATTCGATTTTATACAATTAATGTCAAAAAAAGGTGATTTGGTAGACTTTTTAATAAAACATGGTGTATTGCCATCGGTAATTAATTGTGAGAAATGTGGAAATGAATTACACTGTCCGACATTTTTGAACTTTTTTTCAGGCACTTAAACAATGAAAACGGATTTCGATAGGTTTTTCCCGTAGAATTCGGATCCAAAAGAAAATTAGCGAATTGGCTCTAGTTTTTGCAAAAACGGTGTCAAATGTGCAAAAAACGTGTTTTTGGCCATTTTTGAGTACCTGTAGAAAAATAACGCGAGCTAATAGAACCTTCTAAGTGGGATGAAATTAAAGCTTGAACCTTGGCCTTTTAAACTAAAAAAGAAAAATCAGGTGTCATGACCTTGGGGTACTTGGGAACAGCTTTTCTATACGAGCGCGCACCAATTTCAGTACATGGTTTCCTCTCCGCGCGCATTATTCTCTACGTTCTGTAACTTATTAATCTGGGTGCTTTTATATAAATACTATTGTGTCTTCCGAATCGGGATTATATATAATATAAGGGATTATATATAAGGGATTATATATAAATCGGGATTATATATAATAAAAGAATAATTTTATAATAATATTCAACAATAAAATAATATTCGTGTAAAATATTATTTATTTTCTGTGAAACAGATACAAGTCAAACAAATACGTATATATTAAATGCAAAGAAACGTTTTTCTCTATGTGCTTTTTGGAATGTGATTCCCCTGTATTTTCACGGATCGTTGTGCTTTTCGTTTATAGGTAGTTTCAGAAGAATCACGAATGAGCATCCAACAATAATCGGCTAGCATATTCACCGTAGATTTACCCTGATACCTTTTCTCCATAGTAGAAATATCTTGGTGAAATCGTTCACCTTGTTCATCACTGACAGCCCCTAGATTTGGTGGGAAAAAATCTAAATGGGAATGTAAAAAATGAATTTTTAGGGACATGTTATATCCCAATGTTTTATAAGAGGTTAACAATTTTTTAATCATTGTTTTATATTTTGGATCCTTTGTATTTCCCAGAAAGCCTGTAGTAACCGCTTCAAAAGCATTCCAAGCATTTTTCTCTTTTTTATTGAGTTTGCTTTTGAAATATTCATCTTTCAGGACAGTCCTTATTTGAGGTCCATTAAACACACCTTCA